CCCCGGAGGAGGGGCTGCAAAGCCAGCCCAGGGAGCTGTGAGGAGGAAAGAGCCGTCCTGTGCCGGGAAGGCGGCCAGAGCTTGAGCCGGAGCTCCGAGCTGGTGGTCCCTGAGCAGCCTCCCAGCAGGGAGAAGCCCTTCAGGTGCTTGGAATGTGGGAAGAGCTTCAGTCAGAGCTCCACCCTCCTCACCCACCTGCACATCCACACTGGGGAACGGCCCTACACGTGTAGGGAATGTGGGAAGAGCTTCAGGGAGAGCTCCAAACTAATCAAACACCAGCGCCTCCACACTGGGGAACGGCCCTACATGTGTGGGGAATGTGGGAAGAGCTTCAGTGACAGCTCCAACCTGATCCGACACCAGCGCATCCACACTGGGGAACAGCCCTACAAGTGCTTGGAATGTGGGAAGAGCTTCAGGCAGAGTGACCACCTCCACACCCACCAGCTCATCCACACTGGGGAACGACCCTACACGTGTGGGGAATGTGGGAAGAGCTTCAGGGAGAACTCCAAGCTCCTCACCCACCAGCTCATTCACACTGGGGAACAGCCCTACACGTGTGGGGAGTGTGGGAAGAGCTTCAGTGACAGGTCCCAGCTCCGCAGGCACCAGCTCATCCACACCGGGGAACGGCCCTACAAGTGCTTGCAATGTGGGAAGAGGTTTCGGACCAGCTCAGATCTCCTCGTCCATGAGCTGATACACACAGGGGAGAGGCCCTTCCGCTGCACCGACTGCGGGAAGGGCTTCAACCGGAACTTCAACCTCGTCACCCACCGGCGCATCCACACCGGGGAGAGGCCCTACAAGTGTGGGGAGTGTGGGAAGAGCTTCACCCGCAACTCCCACTTGACCAAACACCAACGGACCCACCAGTAATGGAAGGCCCTACAAGTGCCCCGACTGCAGGAAGAGCTTCGGCCGCTGCTCCCACCCCAAATGACCCCCCTGATGGTGAGGCAACCCCTGGAGTCCAGTGACTGTCAGTCCATCCCTTTCTACCAGAAAGGGCCAGTCCCCTTTGCCAGGGGCAGGTTGTGCCAACAGAACCCTTCTTGGGGGGTGTGTGGAGATTCCTGCCT